ACAAAATCTGACAATTCAAGAGAACCTTGAGTTCTAGGCATGTTGTAGCACAGTTTGCTGACCATTTTCACTTATATAGTGCTCTGTGAACACAAATTAGTTAGCATAAATCAGTTACATGACGAAATATTAGATGTCTATTTACTTGTGACCACTCAGTGTATATACATAAAAAAGGCTATTAATAATATAGATAATAACATCGTTTGTTTTTTTTAATTTCGCGCAAAGCTACACGAGGGCTATCTGCGTTAGCCGTCCCTAATTTAGAGTGTAAGACTACAGGGAAGGCAGTTAGTCATCACAACCCACCGCCAACTCTTGGGCTATTCTTTTACCAACGAATAATGGGATTGACCTTAACTTTATAACGCCCCACGGCTGAAAGGGCGAGCATGTTTGGTGTGACGGGGATTCGAACCCGCAGATTTGTGAGTCGAGCACCCTAACTAACTGTCCATGCCGAGCCATATAATAGGGATAAACATGAAACAGAATATTTAATAAAACGTATTCTCTGATGTGTATTTACGTAATTATCACTTTACCTATATGTGTGTGTGTCTGCGGCCATACATAAATATATCTTAATATAGTGTTCACTTAACAGTTTATTTTGTTGTCTCCTTACAGCTATCGTTTGTATTAAAGTTATCTCCTTGAACAAAGTAGCTCCTGAAAATGAAAAATCAGAAACAGTCAGTTTGGAAAAAGGAGTGAAGGAGATCGTGACACCGGATGAAATGAACCAGTTCGTAACAAAGCCAGATGAGGAGAAGATTGAACCAGAACGTGGGGAATGGGGAGGAAAACTGGGCTTTCTTTTAAGTTCTATAAGCTACGCTGTCGGTCTTGGCAACGTATGGCGGTTTCCATACTTGTGTTATGAAAATGGTGGAGGTATGTATGTGTCTTGTGGTGTTATTTAACTTAATAATCATGAAATATTTACCTTAGTAAATGGTTACTTAGTGGTTCTAATGTATTATATGTTGTTGTTTGTTATTTAGGGGCATTTTTGTTTCCCTACCTGATCTGTTTAATCTTGTGTGCTGTTCCTGTCTTCTTCCTGGAAGTGGCCATTGGTCAGTATCTCAGCATTGGTGGTATAGGCGTCTGGAATTTAGTACCTATCTTTAAAGGTAACTATTATTGTTTACTTCTAATGTTTTAGCATTTTTCACCTTTTCCGGATATATATATATCTGATATCTTTGTGTCAGATGTCTCAACAGTTGTTATATCAACTTAATGTATATTTTTCACTAGGAATTGGCTTTGCTTCAATGACCATCGTTTGTCTCTGTAATATCTATTACGTGGTGATAATAGCTTGGACGTTATTCTACCTCGTGTCCTCAATGACGTCACAGCTGCCGTGGGAAACGTGTGGTAATTGGTGGAACACTGAAAACTGTGTGAAAGAAGGAACCAACATTACCGGACTGAATATTACAGCCGCTGAAACAGAATCCCCTATTATTGAATTCTGGGAGTATGTTTAATTTCTTATTTTTCATATGATTCATTAGGTTTAATTTCTTAATGTAATAAAACATATAAATATATGTTTTTCAAGGTTGATTGACACAATATTCAAAATCATTATACATTAAAAGATTCTTGTTCCAGGGAAGTACACTTTCACCACAGATTCATATTTTTTATTTAGGAAACTTTATAAATGGTAAATGGTGACTTAAATCTATCTTATATGTAGTAACTAAATCGCTATTCCTACAAACTACCATTGATTGTAGTTCTCTTCCTATCAACAATGCAAGATTATTGATTTGAG